TGAAGCCCTAAGTTTGATTCCTCAGCACCACATAAGCAGAAAAAGCTGGAAGTGGTGCTGTGGCTCAAGTGGTAGAGCGTTAGCCTTGAGCTGAAGAGCTGAGGGACAGCGCCCAGGCCCAGAGTTCAGGTCCCACGACTGACAAAAAAAAAAAATTCCTCTTCTCCAATAATGAATAAAGGCTTTCTTTCTTTATTCCTCCCCCTCGCCCTCATTAAAACAAAACAAACAAAAAACACAACACAGAAAGCCTGAACACCATGGTTCATCAGTAAATTCTTTTCTTTTTCTTTCCTTTGTTTTTGTTTTTAATTATTTTTGGTTTTGTTCTGTGCCAGTCCTGGGGATTGAACCAGGGCGTGGGTGCTATCCCTGAGCTTTTTGTGTTTAAGGCTAGCTCTTTACCACTTGAGCCACAGCTTCATTTCTGGCAATTTGGTGATTAATTGGAGATAAGATTCTCGTGGACTTTCCTCCCAGGGCTGGCTTTGAACCTCAATCCTCATATCTCAGCTTCCTGAAGCGCTAGGATCACAGGCATGAGCCACTGGCCCCTGGCTGAGAATCTTGAGGAAACAGTGAAGGAAGCAATGCCAGTCCTTGTCCTCAACTTTCCAATAAGCTGAAGAGGAAGGACTACGTCCTAACTCCTTCTTTGAGGCCAACATTATCTGATACCAAAGCCAAACACAGACCAGGGCCTCTTACAAGCGCTGGGGAAAAATTCCTCAGACAGACACTACCACACCACATTCAGTAGCACACTGAAAGAATTCAACACCGTTACCAAGTAGAATTAATTCCTGGCGTGAAAGGACAGTTTAACATATAAGAATTAACCAACGTGAAAACTGTATTAATAGATGAAGGAAAAAGCCAAATGATTGCCTCAATTCATACATAAAGAGCATTTAATAAAATTGAACACTTTTTGCACTCACATACACACGCGCGCACACACACACACACACACACAAATTTCAGCAAACTGGAAGTCCAAAAAGGCCGGGTGCTAGTGGCTCTCTTCTGTAATTCTAGCTACTCAAGAGGCTGAGATCTGAGGATCACAGTTCAAAGCCAGCCCAGGCAGAAAAGTCCATTAAATTCTTATCTTCAGAGTACCAGCCTTGTGAAAAAAAATGCTAAGGGACAGTGTTCAGCCCCAGTACAGCACACACACACACACACACACACACACACACACACACACACACACACGGTAGCAGGAATCATCCTCAGTCTGATGAAAGACAATTACTTACTCCAGGGTGAAAGATTGAAAGCTTTTCCTTTCCTTTAAGGGGAAAATAAAGCTGGGTGGGGTGGCTCACAACTGTAATCCCAGCTACCTGGGAGGTACAGATCAAGGGATCATGGTTCAATGCCTTCCTGGCAAAAGGAGACTCCTATCTCAACAAACAAGGCAGTATGGAGGCTGGGGCTGTGGTTCCAGGATGTAGGAGGTGTATACAGGAAGACTGTAGGGACAGGCTGGCCCCCGGCATCAAATGGGCTGGGGGTGTGGCTCAAGTGATAGAGTGCCAGCCTAACAAGCACAAGGCCCTGAGTTCAAATCCCAGCATCCCCTCCAATAAAAGGAGGAAGATGGCTGCTTTCACCTCTTCTGCTTAACACAGAACTGGAAATCTCTGCTGGAACAATCAAGTAAGGAAAGGAAAAAGAAGAAGTAAAATATCTCCATTGTATCTAGAAAACTAAATATATAACCAATACGCGCTGGAACTAATACACAGCTTTAGCAACAAAATGTCAACAGCAGGAGTCTCGTCTGTAGACGGGAAGACAGCAGTGTAGCACTGTGGCCAGGTCCCTTGTGGTGGACCCGACGGCACAGGCCAGTGCCTTGGCCGACGGAGGCCAGTGGTGTGTGACTAGCCTCCTCCTTCCCCTCAGAGAGTGACCCGTGGGAGCTGAGCTTCCCTGGACACCAATGTGAAGTCTTGGGGAGGCCTGGTCTGCGCGCGTCCCCATCACACGCACTGGAGCGGCCTTTGCAAGGACGGATCGCCATGGTGGAAGTGGAACTACAGGAAACTCAACTGGTAGCAAGCATGGCCCTCCTGACCAGAGCGGACGGCGACGGCAGACAGTCCTGCGCTCGCTGGGCAGCTGCTGAGGTAGCAAGTGCTGTCCTCCAGCCTCCTGCCTGGAGAGCCAAAAGCTGCTCACCTCCACCTGCGCCTGCTCTCCTCCAGGGACCCCATCACAGCCTGGCTCACACACAGCAGGCTCCCCAGAAACTCTGGGATGTCAGGGTATGCAGCAAGGGCCGGCTTCTGCTTTTGTTAGCTTTCGGAACCCTTCCCCAAACACTCGAGTCACGTAACCCTGAGCAATCCTGCACGTCCTCTCCTCTGCTCCCGCATCTTCCCCTTCGCTCCTGCCCAGTGCTGCCGTGGATCTCCTGGGTGATGCGAGATCATCTCTTCATCTTTAGTCCAGCTGACTAGCTACCTCAATCCATGCGCATCTGTGTTCTGGGCACCCCGAGCAGTCAGGGCTGCTCTGCCCGGAGGCCCGCCTGGCCACAGAAGTGACCTGCGAGGCAGGGGCTGGCGGTGTGCAGTGTCCCACTGGCCTCCACGGCCCCATCCTGAGCCGCCAGAGGCCGGCCCCCCACCAGGGTTTCCCCGCACAGCAGGAACACGCGGGGGAGGTCAGGACAGCTGGTGAGAGGCCCCTGCAGTCTGCGTCTTCCGGGTGCTCGGGCCAGCCCCACTGAGTCTCTGCGCTCTCTGCCTCCAGGCTGTCTCCAGCACCAGGAAGAGGGAGGGTCCCGCAGCCCCTTGGCCTATTGCACCCTGCCCTGTCCAGAGCAAAGCTGCACAAAAGTCAGGATGCACAGACCCAGGCGAGGCCCAGCCTGCCCCAGGCCTGGGAGGTCCATGGGGATGTGCCCTGACGCCAAGACCAGAGATGAGGCCAGCCGGGAGGATGCAGAGGCCGAGGGAGGGCAGGAGGTGTTGGGGCGAGGCAGAGTTGGGGGGGATGCAGCCCTGGGGGTCTGGGCAGCACCAGGCACTGAGCACAGGGCACCAGCGGGCAGGCGGAGCAGGGCAGGGCGGGGCGGGGCAGGGGGGGGCCGCAAGGGGGGCCCAGAAGGCCGGCGGGGCAGGTGCCGCCCGCAGCCCCGGGCTGCCCTGGTGTGTGCCCGTACCTCCCCGCAGTCTAAGGCAGCGCGTGGTCTACCCGCTGCCCCCCCCACTCCGACCCCTGCGCCGTGTGGGGACGTCTGTCTTGAGATCTCCCCCCCACTTGTTCCCGAGCCCCCCTCCCCCGTTGCAGGCACAAGCACCCTCACCTTCCATGTGAAGAATGAGGTATCTCAGGCCACATACCCAGCCCTCCTCCCGCAGGCCACCGCAGTGGGCACACCACCTCCTTCCCTTCAATAAAGCCAGACAAAGCCAGGTCGCTGGAATTTTTCTTTTTTGTAAAACATTCTTTTATTAAAAGAACAAGTGCTATGTAGGAACCGCCCTTCGTACAAATAACATCCGTTATACAAAGATACAAGATCCGGGTTATGCACAATTCCAGGCTTGGAGGTGGCAGGGGCATTGCCTTTTGGGCTGAGGATATAAAGGATTTAGAAAGAATGAAAAAGAGCTCCCAGGGTTTGCAATCTGCGGAGTCCCCTCCCATCTCCCCAAGGGAAGGTTGACTACATAAGAGAGAGGCTGGGATGGAAGAGGGCCCTGGGTTTGGGTCGCCAGTCCCACCACCCTAAATTCTAAATTAGGCTGGGGAAAGGGAACCAAGGAGAACTGAGGGCACTCGAAGTGCCCCATTAGTCAGATCACAGTGTCCTAGTGGGAGCTAGACACACCTTTAACCCAGATTAACATGGTGGGAAGGCACCCTCTTCTCTCCAGATTCCCTGTTGGAGTTACCTCCACCCTACTAGGCACCTCTCCCCTGGAAGTAAGCTGGGATAAAGAACTGAGCAAGCTGCCTACCCCTCATTCTGGCCAACTGCACACCAAGGAAGACACTGGAAGCTGGAAAGGGGGGAAGCCTATCTTTGAAAACCTGACAGCATTTCCAGCTTTGGAAAGGGAAGTGGGAAGGTTACTCCTTTCTTTAGAGCTGCCTGGGACCTCCTAGCTGGGGTGGGCATATAAAAAGAGTCTACAGCAGCCTCAAGGTCAGGGCACCTAGAGGCAGCAGTAAACCCAGGAGCAGGAGGTGAAACCTCACAAAGGCTGGGGGGGGGGGAGGGAAAAAAAGAAAACTTTAAAAAGGCAACCCTTAAAGTGTCATGTCTATGGAGAGGATCCATCAGCTCTGAGCTACAACAGTCAGCGACACAGGCACCCTCCCACCCTGGGCACAGCCCCTCACTCATACCACGCAGTCACTCACACAGGGATGCACACCAACAGCCAGCCATGAAGAAGCCCAGAAGCCATGCACTGGGAAGGGGAAGCTGTAGACCAGGAGACTGGCTACTGAGGCTGGTCCCAGCTCTGCACAGGGCATTTGCCTCCCAGGCTTGGAGCTGTCATCTGTGAAGGCAGGAGCCAGCTCCAACTCGTAGAAGACAGCCCCTTCCAGCTCTGACACTCACCCACCAGCTGTGACCCCCTGGCTGGCACCTGTTCAGCAATCAGCAAGCACTCCACTCCCATCCCCTTGCTGAGGGTGTGGTGACACACCATACTCCACACACGCATTTTCAAACCCCATTTCCGCTCTACAAACCACATCCTTCCCCCAAGCCCCCACCCCCCACCCCAGACAGAGCTCCACAAATCTGCATCCTTCCCACCCCCAGCCAGGTTCATTCTCAAAAGATGGACTGAGGCTGAGAAGGGATGAGGTCATCATAGCCATCCTTAGTATCCCGCTTCCTCCTGAGGCTCTACACAGCTTTCCTGATTGAGCTCAGCCAGAAGGAAGAGTCACTACCAGAAGCAACACCAACCCAAGCCTAGCTGCAGGCCCTAATCAAATCAAACTTGACTATTTGCCAGGGCCTCCTCCCAGCCTGAGTAACTCAGAGGGTTCAGTGAAGTTGGAGGTCAAGGTGATTAGGGTAGGGAGGGAAAGCGGGTGGTGGTGGCTTGGTTCCAGTGCACCAAAGCATTCCCACTCATTCCACACAGCCCCCAGCCTCGGCGCGGATGTCCCTCTTGACATCAGAACAGATTTCAGACTGTAGCTCCCAGCAGGGCCAGCCTTGGGCAAGGGCGTGGGTGTGAATGTGCAACTCTTCTAAGAGTTTCTCAAGGTTATTTTTTTCAGTGGCTTGGGGGCAGGGAGTTGAAGAGCTTAATAGATTAAGATGGATACAAGGCCGACTTCTATCCTGTCTTTCTGATACTTAGCATTAATAAAAAGTATTTTTGAGGTCATCACAATTGTCCCCCCCCCACCCAAAAGCCCTTACAAATGCCTAAGAAATCACCTCTGAAGGTTCCCACCCTCCCTGCCCATTATTAGCTCTCTAATATCTTACAAAGTCTTATCACCAGGAATATTAATATTATTTTCCATTATCAGAAAAAAAAAAGTTGAGCAGCACAGGCAAAAATATATCTGCACTACGTTTTTGTCGTTGCCAAAAATATACACATCTTCTTTTCTTTATTAAAAACGAAACAAAAAAAAAACCAAAAAACCCAATGACAACAAAAACCCGAACAGATACACACAAAACTGCACACATGCACAGACTGACAGACATGAGCATCAGGGAAAGCTGGAAGCTGACCCTCAGCTCCACCCAGTGCATCTGAAAGGGACACAGGCCTCGGCCGCCTCTCTCAGTGTCCACTCAGCCTTCTCACTAAAGGCCCTGGGCAGATGGGGACACTGCTCTGGAGAGAACCACCCACTACACCCAGGGAAATAGCTGGTGGGTGAAAGGACAGTTGTTAAATCAACGTATGTATCTCCCTTCATTGATGGGGGTTGGGTTGGTTGGGAGGCAGGCCATTCTTTCATTGTGGGAGAGACTTGCTAAAGGTGGCCCTTTACTCCCCTTGTCCCCTCCCCCAATCCCTTATGCCAAAAAAGGACCAAACTATTCATGGGGGAAGGGGGCCCTGAGGGGGCCCTAAGACCCAATGGGGCCTGGGGGAAGGAAGGCAGGATATTACCCTGATTCAAAACCCCCAGCCCCCAGTTACTCTCCAATACTGGAGTACTATTCTGGTTTTTGTTAACCATTCATGCCCTGAAAAGGGACCAGAGTTGGTGAGATGGGGAGGGTACAAACAAAAGTTGGGAACTACCCCCTCTGGACCATCACTTCTTATCCCTGCCCTACGTGGCTCTAGGTCCAGGGAAAGAGACAGACAGATGGTCACACACACACACACACACACACACACACACACACACACTCTCTCTCTCTCTCTCTCTCTCTCTCTCTCTCTCACTGTGGAGTCAGGCAGCTCCATCTCCCCACCCTCCGCACTCCTCCAGCCAATAGTGCAAACAAGGGGCAGGACATCAAGGGCCTCCCTCATGTCCCCATCACTGGGGGCCCCAAGAGGGCTAGCCTGGGCTGAGTCTTATGCTATCCTGCCCTTCCTCAGTCCTCCTGTCTGTAGGTTTTTACAAGCTCAGCTTAGGACTCTTGGTGCCAGAAGGGACAGGGAGAAATAGTCAAAAAGACTCCTCCTGTCCTCTGCCCAGTTTGGGAAGAAACTGAAGGTCAGATGGGCCAGCCCTTCTTCCATAGGGATCTCCACACAGGGACAGGCCCATGGGGCCCCTCCACTTCTCTCCATTCAAGTGCTGATCCATTTTATGTGGGTCCAACCAACCCCTCCCCACTCATGCCATGGCCCACTTTACTCTTGGGGAGGGAGCCCCCCCCTAATTTGCTGAGCCTATGGGCTCCTAGCCAGGCTTAGAGCCTGGTCTCCCTCTGCACCTCTCTGAAGCAACCAGTGTACAGAGGGAAAGGCCAGGTAGAAGAGCTCCATCCTCTGCACCAGGAGCTCCTGCACTCCCTGGGTCTCAGCACAGGCTCTGGGCCAGGCTCTTCTGTGGTCTGGGCCCAGGTACCTGCCTGCTTCAGGCTAGGACCCCTCAAGCCAGGATCTGCCCCCTCCACGTAGGAACAGGAGTGGATTTAGCCTTTTTCCTGGTTGGCTGAGGCTCCTTTGTCAGCGGTCTGGAAAGAGAGGAAGGGAGGCTAGGGTTCTGAAGGTATTTGACCCCAACACCAGTTAAAAACAGCATTCTGGGATAAGGAAACTGCTGTAGATGCAGAAGAGAAGGTGGCTGAAACCCCTGGCGGGGCGCTGACAGGTGCACACCAAAGTCAGCTGTGAGCATGTTTCAGTTAAGATCAGCTTCTTGGGCCAGACTGTGTCCTCAGATGAGGGACAGCTTTTCTCTCCTCAAGTGGCTCACCCCAAGGGTCATCTTTGTCTAACTGGTCTGCTCTGAAAGGAATTGGCGTGTGCGTGCCTGCGTGCGTGTCGTGTGTGTGCGTGTGTGTGTGTGTCTAGGGCTTGAATGCAGGTTGGACGTGTCCCTTAGCTTTTTTACCACTTGAGCTTCACCTCCAATTCCAACTTTTTGATGGTTAATTGGGAGATAAGAATCTCAAACTTTCCTGTCCAGGCTGGCTGCAAATCTCAGATCTCAGCCTCCTGAGTAGTTTGAATTACAGGTATAAGCCACAAGCCTCAGGCCTGGAATTGGCCTTTGCTAATCAGTCTTCTCCGAGGAAGTTTGTTTCCTGATTGGTCCTTCTAGTACTTTCTTAGAGCAGCTGAAGGTACAGTGTGAGCAGAGACTGGGGGCTGGCGTAGGGAACCTGGCTGATCAGGTGTTACTGCTATCCGCTGCCCATGTGTCTGACAGCGTACCTTCTGGTCATCCACCTCTGGTCACCCACCCTTACAAGGAAGATCGGAAGCTCATCCTCCCCTCCTTACTCACCCCAGCTTTGGGGCCACTGCCACTGCCGTCCACCCCTGACAGGCTGAGGAAGGGGTTGGTCTGCGCAGTGAGGACTGGAGGTCCGCCTGCTGCTGCTACTGCTGCAGCCGCCGCGGCGGCGGCCATGAGACTTGTGTTGTTGCCCAGTGAAGGGGCCACCAGGGCTCCGGTGGGCAGCAGGGGTGGAGCGGATGCTGTGGGCAGCAGGCCAGGGGTTCCTGTGGACAGCAGTGGGGTAGAGCTTCCTGCCAGCAGGCTGGCCATGGGCAGCTGGGAACTCCCGGCCATCTGCAGCCGCTGTAGCTCCCGCTTCTGCTGGATCTGTTGGATCATCTGGTAGACAACGGTCTGGTGCTCCTGCAAGGAGGCCAGACTGCTTATTGAGATTCCCTGCTGTCTTTCCCCAATGTCTGCCTGCCCTTCCAGACCAGGGGCCCCATCTTATCACACTAGAGTCAGGAGGCAAGAGACAGGGGAAGACGGTCATGGTTCTGTCCCTTGCTTCTCAATCTGGATCTCAGATTCCCTCTCAGGACAAGAAAATGGTTGCCCATCACCAGTGTCTGTCAAATGGGCAGGGAAGGCCAAGTGCAGATTATTTACACCTCTGGCCTTGCCCACTCACTTAGGTCCTCAGGTTATGACAATCACAAGTGCACCCAAGATGGAAAATGCTACACTACCTTGGTAGTTTTCAACCTCACTCCCTTTTTTGCTACTTTTTTTCCTTTGGTGCCTGTACTAGGGCTTGAACTCAGGGCCTGGGCACTCTCTCTGAGCTTTTTCGCTCAGTGTAACACTCTACCATCTGAGCAATAGCTCCAATGGCTTTCTGGTGGTTAAATGGAGATAACTCTCATGGGGAAGGTAGGGGAAAAACAAAGGAGAAGGTGACAATGCTTGACTGGAAATGTATTCATTACCTTGCTCATGTAACTGTAACCCCTCTGTACAGTATTTTTACAAAAAAAAAAAAAAAAGTATAAAAAAAAAGTCTGGGCTGGGAAGGTGGCTCAGTGGTAGAGCGCTTGCCTTGCATGCATGAGGCCCTGGGTTCGATTCCTCAGCACCACATAAGCAGAAAAAGCCAGAAGTGGCACTGTGGCTCAAGTGGTAGAGTGCTAGCCTTGAGCTGAAGAGCTGAAGGATAGTGCTCAGGCCCAGAGTTCAGGCCCCATGACTGGCAAAAAAAAAAGTCTCATGGACTTTCCTGCCCAAGCCTGGCTTCAAAGTATGATCCTCAGATCTCAGGCTCCTAAGTAGCCAGGATTACAGATGTGAGCCATCAGCAGCAGGTTTGTTAAGTAATTTATTTTTGCTTTGAATAGGCAAGAGCATTCTCAGTTCAATGTTTCAAAAGCCAAAATACAGCCGGGTACTGGTGGCTCACGTCTGTAATCCTAGCTACTCAGGAGGCTGAGATCTGAGGATTGCGGTTCAAAGCCAGCCCGGCCAGGAACATCCGTGAGAATCTTATCTCCAAGAAACCACTAGAAAACCGGAAGTGGTGCTGTGGCTCAAGCAGTAGAGCGCTCGCCTTCAGCTGAAGGGCACAGGGACAGTGCCCAGGCCCAGAGTTCAAGCCCTACAACCGACCAAAAAAAAAAAAAATCCAAACTACACCACAAATTTATCTTAAGAAATTTTGTTCTAGGCTGGGAATGTGGCTTAGAATGTGGTAGAGTGCTTGCCTCGAATGCAAGAGGCCCTGGGTTTGATTACTCAGTACCACATATACAGAAAAAACTGGAAGAAATGGTGCTCAAGTGGTAGAGTGCTAGCCTTGAGCAAAAGAAGCTCAGAGACAGTGCCCACCCAGGCCCTGAATTCAAGCCCCAGGACTAGCAAAAGAAAAAGAAAAAGAAACTTTGTTTCTGGCCAGGTGCTGATGGCTCACACTTGTAATCCTAGCTAGTCAGGAAGCTGAGATCTGAGGATTGCAGTTCAAAGCCAGCCTGAGTAAGAAAGTCCAAGAGACTCTTATCTCCAATTAACCATTAGAAAATGGAAAGTGGGCGAGGCCCCGGTGGCTCACACCTCTAAACCTAGCTACTCAGGAGGCTGAAATCTGAGGATCGTGGTTCAAAGCCAGCCCAGGAAGAAAAGTCCATGAGACTCTTATTTCCAATAAACTACCAGAAAACCAGAAGTGGCGCTATGGCTCAAGTAGCAGCGCACTAGTCTTGAGCTGAAGAGCAGAGGGACAGGGCCCAGGCCCAGAGTTCAAGCCCTACAACCAACCAACTAAAAAAAAAACAAAAAAAAAAAAAGCTCAGACAGTGCCCAGGCCTGAGTTCAAGCTCCAAGATTGGCACCAAAAAATAGGAAATCACTATGGGAGTTGGCTCTTTGTCTTATTGTCTTAATTCCCTTTCTCCCTCTCCCCCCTGCCTTTTTTTTTTTGTGTTGGTTGTGGGGCTTGAACTCTGGGCTTGGGCACTGCCCCTGCGCTCTTCAGCTCAAGACTAGAGCTGTACCACTTGAGCCACAGCGCCACTTCTGGCTTTCTGGTGGTTAATTGGAGATAAGAGTTTCATGGACTTTCCTGCCCAGGCTGGCTTTGAACGGTGATCCTCAGATCTCAGCCTCCTGGGTAGTTAGGATTATAGGTGTGAGCCACCAGTGCCTGGCTTTCCCTCTCCCTCTCCTTATACCCCACCCCCCATGCTGGAGAGAATCTCAGGGCCTTGTACATAATAGGTTCCTAATGCAACTCCTTCTTTTTTTGGCAGTATTGGGGTTTGAACTCAGAGTCTTTTGCTTGCTCTCTACAACTTGAGCCATGTGTCCAGGCCTGCATTTTACTGGTTATTTTGGACATGGAGTGTCACAGATTTTCTGCACAGGCTGACCCTGCCAATCATCCAGATCTCAGCCTCTTGAATAGCTAGGATTATAGGCACTATGACTGCCCTACTTAGCACCCTCATTTTTTTTTTTTTCTGGTCCTGGGGCTTGAACTCCGGTACTGGGCACTGTCCCTGAGCCTCTTTATGTTCAAGGTTCTATCACTTGATCCACAGGGCCACTTCTAGCTTCTTCTGAGCAGTTTATTGGAGATTAGTCCTGTCTGGGCTGGCTTCAAATTGTGATCCTCAGATCTCAGCCTCTTAAGTAACCTGGTTTATAGGCGTGAACCACCAGTACCCAGCCCTCATTTAAAAAAGATGTAAAGATGAAATCCTTTTTTTTTTTCAGTCCTGCGGCTTGAACTCAGAGCCTGGGCTCTGCCCCTGAGCCTCTTTGTGCTCAAGGCTAGCGCCACAGCATGACTTCTGGCTTTTTTTCTGTTTAGTGGTACTGAGGAATCGAACCCAGGGCTTCATGCATACTAGGCAAGCACTCTACGAGTAAGCCACATTCCCAGCCTTGAAATCCCTTTTATCCAAAGGGAATCTCAGAAGAGGCCAAATAGGAGACACACCCAGAAGTTGGTATGGTTGAAAGGCTGTCAGGTATCTCTCTACTATACCCCTAGAGTTTCCCCTGAAAATCCTTGGGGCAGGGACAGAAACACAGGACCAGGACCACTCTGCTGCACCATCACTGTTCTCTCTTTGCCTCTGACCAGTCTCTACAGACCCAATATCCACCTAGTCTGGAACTCCCCTCCCACCTCCACACCCTACTACCCTCCCTGGCTGGCCCAGATCCTCAATGATGGCCCCTTCTCTGCAGAATGACAGAACAGAAACACTGGCCCAAGTTGGCAGGGAAAGAACTTTACCGGGGTCAGCTGCGGAGAGGCCAGGAGCTGCTGGAGCTGCTGGAGTTGCTGCTCTTGCTGCTGGAAGAGGTGTCTCTGCTGCTCTGTCAGGCTGAAGCAGGGGACAGACATGGACCATAAGGGAGGAACGAGGACGTGTACCCCATTTCCATGAGCTTCCAGACTCCCTCAGACCCAGCCAGGAGAGATAGGGAGGTGAATGAAGTATTAGAGGACCGAGCTCCAAGGGCAGGTGAGAGGAACAAGTGAGATGGAACGGACTGCCTCGTAGGAAGACCTAAGGTCAGGATGGTACAAATAGACTCTGTCCCTGATTGCTCCTATCCTAGACACATTCAAGGCTAGCAGTCTAGAGAGTCCCTAGCAGCCAATACATGACTAGGATTATATACCCTATAGGGCCAAAGGACATTTTTTCCTTTTGGGGGATTAGGGACATTTTGGGGAATGCCCACCACCTCCCCCCCCAAGCCAGCCTCCCCATTCCCTTCCCCAGGGCTGAGCTTTCCCTCACCTGTTAAGACAACCTGGCAGCTGCAGCGTGGGGGCCCCGCCAGCCTGGGTCAAGCCTGCAGGGTTGGGGGCAGCAGCCCCATTCAACCCCCCCAGGAGCCCATTGAGGGGCAGGCCCCCACTGCCCGCCAGTCCCCCCAACAGCCCCTCAGCCATGGGCATAGCCCCCAGCCCTGCTGCCCCAGGTGCCCTGCCCAATCCATTCTGAGGCTGGGGTGGGTGCGGGGCTGGGGCCCCAGGCAGGGCCAAGGGCAGAGTAGCAGGGCTCTGCTGGAGCAGGGGCAGCGGTGGGGGCGTGCTGTGGAAGGACAGCGACGAGCTGCTGCGGCTTGGGCAGCCTGAGTGTGGGTCCTGGGGAGGGAGGGGGAAGGGAGGGGTCAGAGGGCGGAGGGCCAGTGTGACCTTTCTGGCCCCCAGCCCCTCACACATTGACACTCTTAACGGAGATCCACCCTCCCCTCCTCTCATACCCAGGCATCCTGAGGGAAGCAGCAAGGACCAGGGATGAAAGCTAAGAATCTATTTTTCCCAAATCAGGATTACTGACCACTTTCTGGGACTCAACACCCCTGTCGTCCTTGCTTAATAACAACCAATGGTCATAGCCATGACTTTCGGGGAACCCGACTGTGCGTCCTTGTTCCCATTTTGTTTATGAGTGAAGCCACTGACTCAGGTTAAGTAACTGTAGGCAAGAACAATACAGCTGGAGTGAGACACTCAGGTTCAAATCCCCAATTCCACAACTGAATGGCTTGGGTGGCCGTGGGTTCAAACTCTTGGTCTTGGTCTTAGTTCAGTCATTCATAACCTGGGGGTCACAGTAGTAGACACTCCACAAGGCTACTGTGAAGAATAAATCAACTATGGCTTTAAAAAGTTCCAGGGTAAGTTTGCAATTAATGTTGTTATTTTTATGACTATGACTTTCCAAGTCACACAGTTAATAAATGGCAAAACCAAGAAACCAATTCGTCTCATTCCAATAATAACCACAATATAACAATAGCAACTGCTATCCCAACCACCACCAATTACATGGGGATTATTTTGTGTGAGGCACTATAATAAGCCCTTCACCAACACTTCTCAGACAGGCCTCCCCAAAGAGGAATCCCTCCTCCTCCTCACACAGTCCTCAATTTAGTTCAACTTAGCACTTCTACTTTGCAATTCTTTTTTGTTCTTGCACGCAGCCTATCTTCGGGAGGACAGTAGGATTTTGGCTCACTGGCTGTTTTAGCCAGTGGGGATAAGTTGGCATCTCACAAATATTACTTGCTAAAAGGAATGAATGAATGGTTCAATCAACTGCCCCATCAATCACTTTACTGCCCAGCCTCTAATAGCTACAGGGGAAAGGAGACCAAGAGGACCTACTGCCTTCCCTCCTCTCAGAGCTCACCTCAGAGGATGTGGACAGCGAGTTGTCCAGGCCAAGGCTGTTCTTCCCTGGAGGACTCTTGCTGGTACTCAAGGAGTCACTGCTGCCGGCTGAGAGAGGGAGATCAGGGGCTGGAGAGTGGCCAGGAAGTCCCCCTCCCATTCCTAAGGCTAGGCAAAATCTCCTCACCTTGGGGTGGCAAGCCATAGGGCCCAGGGACTGGGCCATTGGTGGCAGGCAGGGCGGCAGGCAGAGCAGGGAAGGGCACGGAGAGCTGCACATTGAGAATCTGCAGGCGTTCCTTCTTGGCCGTCAGGCTCAGGATCTGTTCCTGCAGTCGCTGGTTTTCTTTCTGCAGCGCGTGCAAAGCCTTCAGCATCTCTACAACTGCGGAAAAGAGCAAGACTGATGCTGGTGCTGGGGGAGGTGGGGTGGGGCCAGAGGGATGGGGTGGGGCCTGGAGAGGAAAGAAGACTCAGCCCTGTGAGGCTGTGCCAGCCAGCCTAGCAAGCAACATAGGTGAGCTTGGAAAGTGGGGAGGCAGGACGGGGCCAAAGTATGAGGATCAGATAGTCCCAGATGCTCTACTGGGACCAGGAGGAAGGAACACACTAGTTGGAGGGGGACGGTGGGAGAGACCTAAGGCAGGATGTCCAAGGAGCATAGCCCAAAGGTAAGGCCCTGGGGGTTGCCATAGTCAAGGATGGGGGGGGAGGGGGGAGGGTTAGAGGCCTTCAAAGAGGTTAAGAGACGGAGGGGAAAGTTGCTAGGGTAGGTTTCCCAGTCTGGCACCACCCTCCTCCTCACTGTTGACTCCAGCCTCCCCATCGCCCTGCTTCTCCAGCAGCTGTTCCATATTAGTAGTTCCTGGGGCCGCTGGGTCTAGCTGGATGCCCCCACAGGGTGCGGATGCTGTCTGATCGAAGAGGGCTGGAAGGCTGCTGATGGGGGACCTAGGATCAGAAGGGAAATCTGGCTCAGGCTCACCTCACTGGGCCATCACTAACTTTCCTACCCCCGCCCCAGGGGTCCTCACCCTCTCCCTTGCCCTTCCACCCCCCCTCCTTGCACCCAGCCCCCAGCCCCTCCCCCCAGCCCCTCCCTCACATGGAAGACAGACTCTCCTGAGGGGAGGTCCCCCGACAACGGAAGCTGCAGTCCTCCAGGTCTGGCTCTTGGATGGAGAAGGGCAGGGGTCAGCGAGGGTGGAGGACCACGGCCTCAGGGTCCCCACCCTGGAGGTGGTGCAGGATCTGGGGTCTTAGAACAGATGCCTTTCCCCAGATTCCCAACTCCAGACTGGCGGGAAGGCTGGTAAGCGCTGAGAGCCCTGACCCGGAAACCCCATCCTTTTTAAGGCTCTTGCTGTTTTCCTAGAGCTCTTGCTGCCTGCCTCCTTCCAGATCCACAGTCCACTTTCTTTCCTGAAAGCTTCAGGTCAACAATGTGAATTGAATTTGAACCTGACATTGACTTGCTTTGTGACCTTGGGCTGGTAAACTAACCTTCATGCAGTGATAATAACTAGGATTAAACTGAGGCAATAAACATTAAGTGTTTAGCTGGAGGGCATAGTTGGCATGCAGTAAAACCTTTGTAATTGTGTTATTATCATAATTAGCTTTGTATGGCTTTATTTTTGTATGCCAGTTCTGGATCTTGGACTAGGTCTGGGCACTGTCCCTGGGCTATTTTGCTCAAGAACAGCACTTTAGCACTTGAGTCACAGCTCTACTTCAGCTTTTTGGTGGTTAGTTGGAGACAAGAGTCTCAAGGACTTTCCTGCCCAGGCTGGCTTCAAACCTCGATCCTCAGATCTAAGCTTGCTAACTAGGATTATAGGCATGAGCCACCGGAACCTGGCTGTATGACGTTTCATGTTCATAAAATCCAAAGTTAGAAGGCAGTAAAAACTTTAGAAGAGTTAAGGAAGGGGTGGTAGGGGAGGGATGGGTGGAAATGTTGAAAGGGGTGACAGTGAGGCAGACATACTGTATTCATAAACTGCTTTGGTAAATGGCAACTCCTCCATACAACTACTACAGGATAATTTTAAAATTCATGAAAACAAAACAAAACAAAAAAACAAAGCAATACTGTGTGTGGGGCTCAGCTTTCCTTTTCTTGCCTGTGCTCTACCACTTGAGCCACACCTCCAGTCTGGCATTTTACCGTTAATTAAAGATGAAGTCTTACACTTTTCTGCCTGGGCCCAGGCTAACGTGGAGCAGCAACCCTCCAGATCTCAGCCTCCTGAGTAGCTAGGATTACAAATCTGAGCCATCAGCACCTGGCAGGCTATACTTTTTGTTGTGCCACAGAATCCAGCTTTAGGTTACAGAAAATACAATTACTCTACACTGTGGATCTTAAAAATGGTATTGGGCTGGGTATTGTTGGCTCATTCCTATAATCCTAGCTACTTAAGAGGCTGAGATCTGAGGATCGAGAGTTGAAGCCAGACCAGGGGCAAGTCCATGAGACTTACCTCCAATTAACCATCAGAAAACCAGAAATGAAGCTGTGTCTCAAATGCTAGTCCTGAGCTAAAAGAGCTCAAGGACAGAACCCAGGCCCTGAGTTCAAGCCCCAGGATGACACCAAAATAAATAAATAAAAACCTGGTTTTGGATTTGTCTCCAGAACAGAACACCTGAACTAGTTGCCTGAAGAGCTCCACCCCCTAGATTGACAGATGGTTTTCTCCACCAATCAGCTCCCAGGTGTTGGGTTGGTTTTTCAGGGAGAGGGCAAGGAGCTTGCTGCCCACCCCTTCAATTACTAAATAGTCCAGAGCTACAAGCCCAGCTAGTGGAACTTATAATGGCTGATCCCAAGATACCAGAGAACAATATGGAAGCAGTTAGGAGTATTGGGCTTAAGAGTCAAAAGATGGGAATTTGGAACTGGGAATGTGGCCTAGTGATAGAGTGCTTGCCCTAGGATGCATGAAGCCCTGGGTTTAATTCCTCAGAACCACATAAACAGAAAAAGCAGGAAGTGGCACTGTGGCTCAAGTGGTAAAGTACTAGCCTTGAGCAAAGGAAGCTCAGGGATAGTACCCAGGCCCTGAGTTCAAGCCCCAAGACTGGCAAGAAAGAAAAAAAAGAAAGGGGGGGGATTTGTCTCTGACAATGCCTTTTTCTTCTGTGAGACAGGGCAATAATTCCAGCTTGCCCTGGCCCTTCACTGGACTTTAATGAGTATCTCAGGTCTGTTGTGTTAGATCTTATTTTCAGCCTAGTGGGCAATGGCCAAAGCCAAAGCCAGCAAGCCCTCCCATCCTTTCTAGGGTCAAACCCCTAGGGCCTTTGGGGAAAAAATGGGGACAGGGCTAGACACACATACCTGTATGGCTGCTCTCGGCTTGGGTGAGGAGAGGGTTAACAGTGCCCATGGGGGTTCCAAAGATGTGGGTGGAAGGGAGGCTGAAGGTAGAGCCAGCCAGAGAAAACACCTGAGAGAGAAGGAGGCAGAATCCAGCCTGGTGATTATTCTCAGATCTAGGGCACAACTGTACTGGGATGGTGAGGAACAAGGTGTGCTGGGAGGAGAGAGGACCAGAGAGGGAGAAGTTGTGGTGGCAATCCAGCCGAACCTCTGATGCCCTATGGAGGGCTGTGTAGCTTCCCCATCTCCTCAGGGAACAAGGAACCAGGATGAAGACTCACCTGAGTGGTGGAGATGGAAGCAGAGGAGGAGGGGAGGGTGCTGGTGAACGGGGAGCGGCTGAGGCGAGGCAGGGCCGAGGTCCCGGGGGGTCCCAGCAAGCTGGAGGAGAGGGGCGTGCTGCAGACAGCCCGAAGCATCCCACCACCATGGGAGATGGGGTCCTTATTACTGGTGTAGATGCCTATAGGCAAAAGGACAAAGAGGTATGCAGTCACCCTCCAACTGACTCTTCCTCAGTCAGGTGGCTGGGAGAGCTACTCTCCTGACAACCCATGCAGAGTCTGGCCACATACCAATCTAACCATCCTGACATCTGCCATATGACTGGCCTGGCCTGGGAAACTCTTAGCTTTTCCCATTCTCTTCCCAGAGCTTGAAAAACCCTGCTGGCAACATCTATGCCAACCTTTCCCACAATCCTGCAGAAGACATGGAAGGGAATGTCTCAGAAGTGACTCTCATCTCTATCCTTTATTTCTATCCTTTGGAGCAATTCCTTCCAATTGTATGTGTATGCCTCTGTCATCTCACAGACTGGCTGGCCCCTGAGATGCTCTCCACCCCCCAGAGGTCACTCACCTGTACCCAGTAGAGGGGATTCCAGGCTCAGGCTAGGCAAGCTCCCAGAAGGCCCAAAGGTGCGGGAGGCCAGACCTCCTAGGCCAGAGCTGACTAAGGAACCTCCAGAGAAAGGTGAGGCAGCAGTGGCGGTGAAGCCAGCCAGCTGGGCCCCGGGCAGGGAGGGGGCAGCTGAGATCACAGCGCCCTCCTTGTTCCGGCTGCCCTTGGGACGGCCGGGCCCATGCCGGCTCCTCTTGCTGGCTTTGTGCTTCTTCTCCTTCAGGACTGTCTCAGGGGTCACCTCAGTGGGTGCAGAGGTGGCACTCAGGGAAGGCATCCGCTTGTGGGTACTAGCTGAGGCCCCGGGCCCAGAGACATGGGGAGACTTATAATCCCCAGGGGAGGGGGCCCGGGCCCGGCCAGAGCTGGAGGTGGTGGTAGAGAAACGCATGATGGGCCCAAACCCAGAGAAGACCACTTTCTGCTCAAAGAGGTCGGCCTTGGGAGGCTCTGGGGCTGAGGGTGAGGGAGGGGCTGACGGGGTGGGGGCTATGGGCTTGGAGTACTTGTCATCCTCTGGCTGCTCCAGTTTGGGAAATGCAGAGAAGTCAGGGGAGCTCTGCAGGGATGAGCCTGTTCAGAGAACAAAAAGGGAATTAGGGCCTCAACCCCTTTCCTTCCCCCAATTCTCACATGCACTGCAGGGGAGAGGGAAAATGGAGGAAAGGGGGGAGCAGATGCTAGCTGGGGAATGGAGAAGCCTGACCTAGCTCTGCCTGTCTATATCCTGAGATAAACATCTTCATCCTCCAGCTTTCCCACTGGTAACAAAATGGGATCAAAGGAACTCTCACCCCTAGTGAGCACACTGGGTGACTAGATTGTAGGTCCTAACATTAAGGCTGTTGAAAATGACCCTTGCAGCCCAAGTGTGAGGACAAAAATTATTGTGGGGTTGCAGGAGTGGGCCCCATCAGGGAGAGGAGACGTTTAGTTCCAAAAAGGAGGGTAAAGGGAGAGGAGCCACTGCACAGGATCACTCATCTTTACCGGGCACCCATTTGGTTACAGTAAATGAGATGCAAATCAACAGGCAAAACACCTTGCTTTAAAAAAAAAAAAAAGCAAGGCAAGAGGCTGTCCCCACTCCCAGCCTCCACCAGAATGCCCACACTCACCTGCAGGTTGGAAGGGCCCCCCAGAGGAGGAGGAAGAGGAGGAGGAGGAAGAAGAGGAGGAGGCGGAGGTAAAACTGCTCACACCTTTCCCACTGCTCAGTTTCTTCCCTTTATGACTCAGGCTATGGCTGGAAGACTTTTTCCCCTTCGAATCCCTGCTGCTCTCAGAGGTCTCCTGAGTGCTGGCTTCATGGTGGGAGGAAGAGGAAGCTGAGGAGGAGACCTGAGGGAGGGGAGGACAGAGGAGGCTTTTAGCCAGGCTGCCTGGCCTGGCTCACACTGACTTGGGAGTGAGACAGGAGGACACAGGACCTGGATTTCGCTAGGAGAGCTCAGGGTAAGCTTCAGGAACCTCTTCCAGCTAAGAAGCCCACAGGAGCCCCTAGACCCAAGAAATGGGGATGCAGGTATGAGACAGCAGGACATAGCCCCTGGACCCAGGGAGACTACATGGACAGATGAACCTGGTGATGCTCTCCTATCCATATTTTGAGGTCTAAGCCCATATAGAGAGTTACTCAAGGAGAATGAGCTACCATGGGCATGGCCTTAAGCCCCTACAGTTGCTACCACTCCCTCCTTGCTGTCCTAAAGCCATGACCCTTACTTCTCCTGACCATCCATGCTCTTGCTGGATAACCTGAACATGCCAGGACAGCCTATCCTTGCTCTTCCTGGGAAACTGGGCTTCCCTCAAGATCCAGCTCAGTGCCTTCTTTTAGAAAGCCTTGCTGGCTTTTTTTTTTTACTTTTGGTCCGTCACAGGGTAGGGTCTGGGCACTGTCCCTAAACTCTTGTGCTCAAGACTAGTACCTTGAGCCACTTTGAGCCACAGCACCACTTCCAGTTTTCTAGTAGTTAATTGAAGAGTCTCACAGACTTGCTTGCCAGGACTAGCTTTTAATCACAATCCTAGCTCTCAGCCTACTGACTATCTAGGATTACAGGTATGAGCTACCAGAACCTGGCTTCTGCCTTTTTATAGGACAGTATATATACACACCCACAGGTGAGCAGTTACCCTGATGTCCTGAAATGTTCTGTCCCAGGTCTGAGGCCAAGTGTCCTTGGAGAGTGGTAAAACAGTGGCTGAGGGAGCAGGGGCAGGAGTCAGACATGTGGGGGTGGGGGGAAGGGGGAAGCATGGTGAACTCTGTCCTTTCTACCATGTTAAGTAGTGGAGTCTCTCAAGCTCATTTAGCTCCAGTGTCCTTCTGAGGCTAACTATGCCCTGAGAGTTACAAGGAACTTCATGCTAGTGATTTGGTGGGAATCAAAAGATGACAAGACTAGGGTTGGGAAGGTGGCTCAGTGGTAGAGTTGCTTGCCTTGCATGCATGAGGCTCTTAAGCAGAAAAGACTGGAAGTGGCGCTGTGGCTCAAGTGGGGAGTGCTAGCCTTGAGCTGAGGAGCTCAGGGACAGTGCCCAGGCCCTGAGTTCAGGCTCCACAACCAACAAAAAATAATAAATAAAAAGACTAATGGGGGCAGCTAGACACTGGTTAAGTACACAGAACTTCAAGCCAGAAGGCTTAGGTTCAAAACTTGACTCTACTACTAACTAACTATGTGCCAGTTAGGCTAATGATTTAACTTTCCTGTGCTTTGATTAATACCCATTTCTTTTGATTTTTTTTTGGGGGGGTAGTATTTGGGGTCTGAACTCAGCAACTGCTAGGATGTCACCCTACCATGTGAGCTATATCTTCCTCCCTGCCTTTTGGTTATTATTTTGCAGATGGAGTCTAGCAAACTCTGCTTGGGCTGACCTCCAACCATGATCTTCTAGATGTCAGCTTCCCGAATAAGGTACGATTACAAAAACTAGCCACAGTACCTAGATCCTGTGATTATTTTGAGGATTAAAATGAAGTCTTCTCTGTGTTCCATTTCCATTCCCTGGTTCTACAAGATTGCCTGGCCTTGTCTACATTTGTGCCTCCAATTACTGCTTGGAAGGCATTTTTCCTCTTGGTGGAGACCAGGTATTCAGCAAATTGTGCTGAATGAACACATTATGTGAGAGGGAGGATGGATGGGGGAAAATGAGAGCCACCCTGCATTGTCCCTCCCTAGGCGGAGTCCTGGTCTCTGTCTTCCTCTTTGTTCTTTACAGCAGCTGGAGTTCTGAAGGGAGCCAGATGTGGTTCTCAGAGCAAGGGAAGAGAGGGGCTGGGGGTGGGGAGGGTGGCTGAGATGCTGGGACAGTGAAGGGGGAGGGGAGAACACTTGCTCTGGACAACCGGTTACTGGGTGACTCACAGGTCTTTCTACCTACCGGTAGGTCCCTACCTTGGGGCAAGGCCAGAAGGCATGAGAGACTAGCTTTCTCAGGTGAGCCCTGGGAAACGTGGAGGGGAGAGGGTTACTGGGGCAGTTGCCACAGCAACATCATTTTGGAAACCTGATGCCTGAACCTCCTGCTAAGATGCCCAGAGCTCTGCCAACCATCTGAGGTGGGTGGAGGTGGCTGGCAATGATGAGAGGGGACAGGAGTAAGCAGTTTCTGCAGGCCCCCAGGGGTCTCCTTCCATGGTGAGGGCAGATTGAAGGAACTGGATAGGGCTGTTCTGGCTTGGATTAGTGACTCCCTGGTCTAGTGAGTAGGGGCTGCCTGTTGCTCATCCAGATGTTGCCCATTTCTGGAGACATAGCACATCCTGCAGGGTGGGATGACTAGGGCCTGGGGTATTGTCCAGGGGCCTTGCCCCCCTTGTACTGTAGCCCACATTTTCAGTCCTTCTAATCTAAAGGGAGATGAGTTGAGAAGCGGGCTTTGAGCCTGGCACTGGTGGCTCACACTTGTAATCCTAACTACTCAGGAAGCTGAGATCTGAGGATTATGGTTTCAAGCCAGTCAGGGACAGGGAAGTCTGTGAGACTCTTATCTCCAATAAAATACCAAAAAAAGCCACGGCTCAAGTGGTAGAACATTAGCCTTGAGCAAAAAAGCTTAAGGACAGCACCCAGGCCCTGAGTTAAAGCCCCAGGGTCAGCACACACACAAAAAAAGAAAAGAAAAGAAACAGGCTTTGGGTATCCTCCTAGTGGCAGAGGAGGCTCCTCTGCTTATTTCTGGGAGGGTGAACCCCAGGAACTTCAAAAGCCGGCCTGAGTGCTGTACCCCATCTCTGCAGACAGGAGCCCAGTGCTGAGGCCCTCTGTCTGGACAGAGCAGATGTGAACCCAGCAAGCAGGGTAGTACCCCCATCCCATCCCCAGGGCTGATCAGTTCTCCGTGGGGCTGAGGAGCACAGCTCTGCGTAGGCTAGGAATGTATATGTAGGGATACAACCCTGAAACTGTGGGAGGACCCTGGCTCACCCTCAGCCCTCGTGCCCCTCCCCTCCCATCCCTGGACCAGCACACCACTCCTCCTGAATGTAGCCAGTAGTACCTTGTCAGCAGTGGGGACCACAGGCGGGGTGAGGATGCTGGGGGGAGACTCAGGCCGCTTCTTGTGCTTCTGTTTAAGGCGTTCTTTGTCCTTTCGACTCTGGGGAGGGAAAGATGACCACACAGTGATGCTGGGAGCTGTTTTGGACAAGATAAACAGGACATGTGGGGAGCTGAACCCCTCTCAAGAATGAGGTTTAATGAGAGTCACTCTCCTACAGAGGATGAGGGACTCATGGCTCAGACGAGATCCTAGGAAAGCCTAGAGTCCTCCTCCTCCCTCCCTGCCTGCTAAAAATAGCCTGTTCCATTATCCTACCAGTGACCCAGAGTACCACACACAGGAACACACACCTCCAAGGGTGCCCATCTGGGACACATGCTGTGCTGTGGCACAAAGGGACACAGACATGTATACCTCTTCATTGGCTGGTACTCAGCAGATGTTACAGTGTGTGCACACATGCTGTGAAGGTTGGGGGGGCGGGGTCACAGAGCTTAAGGAGGCCATATCCCACCCCACTCTCCCTGATCCCCAGAGCCCTTGGTGGCCTCACAGGAAGAAACGGAGTAGGATCCAAAAGCTGGGGCACCTGGAGGTGGAGTCTAGAAAGAGGCTTGTGAGGGTAAGGGCGGAGGGGTGCCTTCACCTTCTTCTGGCCCCTCTCATGGTGGGTAGGGTGCTTGTCCTGCTGAGTGGTTGGCGAGGCTGACCGGCTTCTCCTGCCAGTAAGGAAGCTGCTGCTGCTGCTGCTGCTGCCACCGCCTCCCCCTGTGCCACCACCACCACTGCCACCGCTGGTGCCGCTGCTACCGCCTCCACCTCCTCCTCCAGCTCCTGTGCCTGTTCCTCCTCCTCCTCCTCCTCCACCTCCCCCGCTGCTGTGCCGGGATGTCTTCTGGGGGAAAGAATTGAGAAGAGTTGCTAAACCCTCCTCTCACTAAGCTTATTAGAGAAAGGTTCCTGAGAATTGCATGATCGTGGGGCTGTCCATCACTAAGAGGGCCTCACATCCTCCAGGATGCTCAGCCTGGAAATCCTAGGACCTCCCCCCCCCCAGCTTATGCAGCGTAAATCCACAATGCACAATGGAGACACAGGACAGGCAGGGATATATCCTGGCCCCCAGCAAGGTACAGTAAAGGGGGAGTAGGCCCGGGGCTTGGGTCTCTTTATTCATTTATTATTCTCTCCATTAACAGTGCCTTCTTGGGCCACATCACATAGACTAAGCCACAACCCTCCTTGCCCTGGGCAGGGGGAGTGCAGGGAGTCTCATGGAGAGCCTCTGCTCCCTTGTACCCCCCGGCCCCTACCACATCAGTCTCCTTTTCTCTCCAGCCATCACATCACTCTCCCTTCCTTTGGTCCCAGCCCTGGTTCTCCACCAAACACAGGGCTGCTTCTGTGTGTGGGATCGACTGCCCTGCCCCTGGGCGCAGGCCATGTATTCATGTGTGTGTGCATGTGTGTATGTGTGTGTGTGTATGAATGCCATAACCACTAAAACCCCAAGCAACTTTATGCTACCTCCTTCCAGTGGAGGCTGCCTCCCCCATTCCAGGCTGGCAGCTGCTCCCTCTAAGGTCACCAACTACCTCCCAACTGCCAAAGCCTAGAGCTAATTTCAGGCCCAGCCACCCCTGGCATTAGGCACAATTCTTACCCTGCCAAACTCCAGCCCCTCTCTTCTATGGCTCCTTTACACCTTGGCCCATGCTATTCTGTAGACGGAGGAGTTTGCAGCCAGCCTCAGCCTTACAAGACTAGGTAGCCTCTACAACCCTACCTGGGTGTCTGACATACACCAAATCCGACAAAGTCCACTTGAAACCTCCTGCAAACCCAACCAAACTCCCTATTTTGTCCTAGGTCATCACAGAACCCTGAAACCAAGGTGACCATGTAATTTATAACTGAAACCAGGATGCTTCTGAAAATGAGAGAGGGAAGTACTAACCCTTGCACAACAGGCACAAAAGCATGATCATCTGAGGCAGCAGACCAGGATACATGCTCATCCTCCTGAAGCTGGCTGCACTCCTCCTCATGGTACCCTCAATGGTCTAAATTCTACCCTGTGTCTAGATCCTAGATCCTACCTCTCAGCTGCCCTGACTTTTAGATTTTTTTTTGTTTATTAGTCATGGTGCTTGAACTCGGGCCTGGATGCTGTCCCTGAGCTCTTCAGCTCAAGGTGAGTGCTCTATCACTTGAACCACAGCGCCACTTCCATAAATCTTTTTTTTTTTTATGTCAGTCATGGGGCTTGAACTCAGGGCTTAGGTGCTGTCCCTGAGCTCTTCCTCTCAAGGCTAGTGCTCTACCATTTTGAACCACAGCACAACTTCCTGCCCCCACTTTTAGGTTAAGTCTACCTAGAATCTCTATCATCCTTCCATCCCCCTTCTCACAGCTGTCTCCCTGCTGCCAGCCTCGGCCCTTCCGATCCTGTCTCATGGTGGCTGCCAGCATAATCTTCCTAAAACAAATCTCATTGTGTTACTCTCCCCACCAGCTTTCCAAGCCTATGGCCCTAATGGGAGAAGGGAGGGGAGGTGTCCAAGCCAAGTCTAGCTCTGCAGACACCTCACAACTTTTGGGACATGCAAGGTCTCTCTGGATGTGGGACAGGACCTTTCCAGTCTGCAGGCTCAGCTCTGACCTCCTGCTTGGCCACACCAAACACCCTGCCTTTCACTGTACTGTCATTTCAGGACCTTATATAAGCCCATCCTTCACTTGAGGCCTCTTTTCTCTCTGTGTTGGCTTCACAGACTCCTGAGGACCTTTCTCATCAAACTGCCTATTCTGAATCATATCTACAAGCTGTAAGATAAGCTGATGACCTTGGGGAGTCTTAGGTCATGCATCTATGTAATAGGGAAAATATCGTACACCTCCTTCTCAGGCTTGGTGGGAGGACCACATGAGATTAACATTCATCACTCACTCCATGCCAGCTCAGCAGAAAAGTTCATGAGACTCCTTCTCAACAAAGAGCTGCACACACCGATGTCTGTTATCCTAGCTACATGTGTCCCAGTTATGTCAGGAAGTCTTAACAGGGGCATAGTACCCAGATGAGCCCAGGCAGGAAGAAAGACACTATCTCAAAAGTAACCAACAAAGGTGGGCGCTGGTGGCTCACACCTGTAATCCTAGCTACTCAGGAGGATGAGATCTGAGGATCCTGGTTCAAAGTCAGCCAGGGCAATAAAGTCCATGAAACTCTTATCTCCAATAAAAACCACCAGAAAACTGGAAGTGGAGCTGTGGCTCAAGTGGTAAAGCGTTAGCCTTGAGCTGAAGAGCTCATGGACAATATCCAGACCCAGAGTTCAAGCCCCGTGGCCGACCAAAAACAAAGTAACCAGCAAAAATCAGGACTAGAGGCATGGCTCAGCAGTAGCAGTGCTTACCTAGGAAGCACAAGGCTCTGAGTTCAAACCTGAGTACTGCCAAAAAATAACATTTTGAGAACTTAGTACAGAGGTTGAAGTAGAGAAGACATCACTTCCCACACAGTTATTGGCTCTTTTTTGTTGTTGTTGTTGGTTGTGAAGCCTGAACTCTAGGCCTAGGCGCTGTCCCTCAGCTCTTCAGCTCAAGGTTAGTGCTCTACCACTTGAGCCACAGTGCCACTTCCAGCTTGTTCTGTTTATGTGTTGCTAAGGAATCGAACCCAGGGCCTCATGTATGCAAGGCAATATTGGCTCTTTTTCTTTCCAATTCCATTTAGTGGAGTGTAAAGCAATGTTTGTCCTCCTGAAACCACCCAGATAAACCGGGTTTGAGCTCTCTTCTGGGTTATACTGCTTAGTTCAACTCTGATCACTCTCTCCAAATTTTAAGTTGTTCTTCACAAATGGGGTGCTCTTCAAGGGCAGAGACAGGTGTCTGCCACCTCCCGAATGGGCCACAGATGTGGTCTGGAGGCCCTGCTCTAAACCCTGGATGACTGACCCACGCGCGTGCTGACAGATGGGACTCACCATCTTGCTGAAGTGGTATTTGCAGTAGCCGCAGTATTTGACGTTGTCTACCTCCAGCACTTCTTCCTCACACAGCAGGCCTGCCATCTGGGCACTAACCAAGAGATGTCAGGTGAAAAGGTGGTGGTCACAGACTGGAGCAGCCACCCTTTCCTCCCTCCTGGACCAGGCTAGAGTAGAGCAAAGATACTGTCATCACTACCCAAGAGATTGCAGCTCGGATGAGCTCAAAGCAGCCATCTGTGACAAACTCCCTTAGAGGGCCCAAAAAGGACTCTTACCAGGTGACATGGAAAGCTTGTCGACATCCATGCCGGTTACAGGTCATACAGGCTCCTGAGGCTGCCTTGCTCTCCCGACCCTGCTCCTCACAGATGTAACAAGTCTGCAGGACATAGTGCAATCATGCTCTCCTTCAGGGAGCTCATTCTTCCAAGGAGCTCTTCCTGATAGTGGATCAGTCCTATGGCCTCCCTTCAATTCTATCCTTGCCCCATCACCCCAGATCAGTGCTATCCAATAAAACTCCCAGCAGAGCCAAGGGCTAGTGGCTCACACCTGTAATCCTAGCTACTCAGGAGGCTGAGATGGTGAGGATCTCAGTTCAGAGCTAGCCTGGGCACACAAATCCTAGAGATGCTTATCTCCAATTAACCACCAAAAAAGCTGGAACTGGAGGAATGGATCAAATGGTAGAGTTCTAGCTGTGAGTAAAAAGGACAAGCAAGAAGGTGAGGAGGATCCTGAGTTCAAGCCCCAGTATCAACACACACACACCCACACACTTCCTCCAGGGAAGGAAATGTTTTCTAACCTGCACTGTCAACGGCTATACTTCCTTGGGCTAAGCTCTCAAAATGTGGCTAGGGTGGCTGGGAAACTAAAATTTACGTGGTAACTATAATTCATTTCCATATCCATGTGTGGCCCACAGTTACTACGTTAGGCAGTGTAGTCTGGTGAGGTTTGAAAGGCCAATGATTGTGTTCACCATGTTCCCTGATGAGGCCATTTTCCCTCTGGGCCCCTGCCTATGCCATATCTTCTGCCTGAAACCAGGGATCCTTCTGTCCTTAAAGCTACTTCCTTTTCATGCCCCAAGTCTCAGCCTAAATGTTTCCTTCCTTGACCATCTTGTCTATAGTAAACTGCCAGCCGGTGTTCTTTCTAACAGGGACTTGTTTATTTTTTTCACAGTACTTACTACAAAATTGCACTGACTTTATTTGCTTGTGTTGCTTTGAATTCTTCCACACAAGAACATGAGTTCCCCTGGACAGGCAGAATTTCTACCTTGACTGATATTTCTGTACTAAGTGTCTGGTACTGGCACCAGGTCTGCCATTCAATGCAATATGCCCTATGTGTAAAAGAATTAACACTAGCTAAGGCGGTTCATTTCACTTGGGCTCCAGAGCCTGAGTATGTGCCACTGCATCTAGAGTAAGTTGTTTGAGGGCAGGCACCTGCCTATCTCCCAAAGATTCCTGAAAGTACTGGCTCGACAGGATCAAACTACACTGGAATAAGAAAGTACTGGAGGGACTCAAGGCTGGTCATCCAGGGACTGGACTACATGGACACAGTCAGGGACACTGACCTTGTTGAAGCGATCATGAGGCACGTATTGCAGCACAATGGGCTCCATAGTAAGCACGTTGGCAAACTGCACCTCCGGGATGTAGAGGGCACACACCACATGGGCCCAGCCTAGGGCAGTGTAGGGGTCGGACTCAGGAAAGACAAGCCCAAGTTCCCACCCCTGCCCATTTCAAGTTACACTGTCCCCTCCTTCAACCTTCCCATCAGATTCCAGTGGCAGTCTGTCTAAGGAATCCAGCCTCTACCCCACACCAAGCCTGACCTGGCAGACCTGCTTAGGGGGCCTTGTTGACCTCACTCAGGGCTCAGGGGACTCCCCTCACCTCCATTGTCAGTCCTCTTCAATGCCCCGTCTTTGTGTGGGCACAGCTCACACCTCTGCCAATGCAAGGGGCAAATAGTTTAGGGGATCTGCTGAGCTGGGCCCTGTCTGCATACACTCAAAAGGGCCCCAGGATGAGATGATGATAAGGGGGAGGGGAATGTAACTGTGTAATGGGAAGTTGATGGTTGAAGATGGAGTGTCCATGGAGATTCGTTAATAAAATCACTGTATTTTTGTACCCTTGTAAAGGTCCCATGATTAAAAAAGTTCAAACAAAAAAGTGGTAGTCTTCCACTCTGTACCAGAGTGAGGGATAAGCAGAGGGGGAGACAGGGCTGGTGATAGGTATGCAGGAAGCAGGAAGTGCTATGTGACAGAACTAAGTCCCACCCAGCCTCAGCCTCAGAGTTTCGGGTTGATGGAGTGTAGGAGGGAGTAGTGGAGGGGAGGGTTCTGGGACTCACCACCCTGGCTGCACGTTCCTGAGATTCACATTTCCGGCAGAACCAGGGTCCTGTTGGCACCTGGACGATGCCATAGCAAGCTAAGGGGAGGGGAAGGAGAGTCATTAAGCAAAGCTGTCAGCCACTGGCTTTTTCCCAGAGTAAGTGGGGGAAGGACTGGAGCCAATTCCAGCAGGGGGAGGGAGGGCTGCTCTTGGGTCTGGAGGGGTCACTCTCTAAAGAGACTACAACACAAGGACAGCTTTTAAACCACCCAGCTGAGCACTCCAAACAAGGGCGGGAAGTCTGAGTCCTTGACCTTAAACTTCCAGAAGATCCTCAATCTCCACACCCTTTCTGGACCTGCTTCCCAGCTCCGGTCCCCAACCAGTCCCAAGGCATCAGGAACCAGAAATAGGAGTCATGATAGTCAAATACAGTTTTGTTGTTATGGGGGGGGGGCTTCTTAAAGGGGCAGTAAGGGACGACGGGGGGGGGAGCCTCCAAGGATCTCATCTTCTGCCTCTGATTATCACAGGTCAAAAGTTAAAGCCAAGGAGGGCAGGTGCCAGTGTAGGTAACCGAGAGAAGAGGTGGCGGGAAGAATCCTCAGCCTTAAGGGTTGTCCCGGGAGAGGGTGGGGGTTGGAGGGAAAACTAGCTGTGCCACACAGGCGGGGAGATGCCAGCCTGTGCCCTCAGCAAGATTCCTCAAGGAGTTAAACTCCCGAGCCATGTGCTGCTGGGGGAAACTCCAAAACCTCCCCTCCATTCCGGCCGCCTGCGTGCACAACCGCTCCCCAAACCCTCAGCTCTTCCCGGGGGGAGGAGAAGGGGGGGGGAGCTCGGAGATTTTTAGGAGGCCCCTCTCCCCTGGGACCCTTCTCCTTCCCTTCCCAACCCCGCTCCTCCCAGTATCCGGAAGCCAGGAGGGGGGGGAGATGAACTCCCGCCCCCCCCTCCCTCGCCTTGACCTCTTCCTCCCAGAAAGCCGGGACCAAAATAACCGGGCGGGAGGGGACACCGCGCAGGTAAACATTCTCCCGGGCGAGCCCCGACACTTGGCAGTGCGGGGCGCGGGGAGTTCGCTCCAAAGCTCCTTGGACTCTCCCCAAAAACTCCCCTCAACTTGGGGTGGCGGAGGGGGGGGGCCACGACGCGGGACTGGAACAATAGGCAAGAAAACAATGCTTGACCCGGTCCTCCCGGACCCGAGCGCGGGGGAGCCCCACGCCTCCCTTCCCTTCAGGTGGGTGGGGGAAGGGCGCGCGAACCCCAAAGGG